AACAACACGATACTCAAAAATATGTTTTACATGATCATTTCTTGTAGACAAATAAAGATTTTAGGCTCCACCCTCTTGGCTCACGATGAATAAAGAAAATCATCACAATTGAGATCGGGTGGGTGGGCGGGGCTTATATTTTACCTGTATTTCTTAATATTCGTAGTCTTCTTTTCGTAACAAGAAACTTAAAACGTGTTTAAAACAGGAAATATGGATTTTGCAATTACGCTCCACCCCTCAGTCTGACAACGAATGGAAAATTCGTCACAGTTGAAATCCAGACAGATGGGTGGGGCTTATTTTTTTTACTTAATACACATAGTTTTCTCTTGTAGAAAAACACGGATTTTGCAATTAAGCTGCGCCCCACTTGATTAACGAACAAAGAAAAAGCGTCACAATTGAGACAGGGTGGGTGGGTGGGGCTTATGTTTTGAATTTTTTTTCTTTCTTAATATATATATTGTTTTTTCTCCACAACAAGACACTGAAAACATGTTTAAAATGGTAAATTTTGTCCTAAACACTTCTCTACAAATTTACCCTTTTAAACATGTTTTCAGTTTCTTGTGGTGAAAAGAAAAGTACGTACATGTATTAAGAAAAAAAAGGTAAAATACAAACCCCGCCCACCCGCCCTCATCTCATTTGTGATAACGTTTTTATTCGTTCTGAGCCTAAGGGCGGGATGACTATTTCTCTACAAGAAACTACCATGTGAAACATGTTTTTAAGTAACATGCTGTTGAAACGAAACAATATATGTTAAGAAAAAAAAGTAAAAAAATAAGCTCCACCCACCCGCCCCAATCTCAATTGTGACGAATTTTTCATTCGTTGTTAGACCGAGGGGTGGAGCTTAATTTTAAAATCGATATTCCCCAACAAAAATTTACCATTTTAAATGTTATATTTCTATTGTAAATAAAAGGAGTATCTTAATATAATAATGTTTATTACTGTAAATTTTCGAGATGATGTCATCCCATTGTTGGTGGGGATGAATAGACAATTTTTATGTTTTTAATTTCTTGTAGAAAAATAAGGATTTTGCAGTTACGTACCGCCTTCTTGGCTCACGACGAATAAAAAAAAATCATCACAATTGAGACAGGGTGGGTGGGCGGGGCTCATATTTTGCCTTTTTTTTCTCAACATAGCCATCTTTTCACTACAAAAATTCCATTTGACAAAAGTGTTTGCCTGACATAAAGTTAAGGTACAAATCAGCAAAAATCGAGTAAGCAGTTAAAAATGTTTGACGTTTCAAAAATTGTCAAAATTTTCAAAACCCTATGTTAAAAAGTTCGCACTTAGTTTTAGGTGCCCTGGTGTTTTATTTTCGGATAAATTTAAGAGAATCTGGTGTTTTATTGCTGTAACTTGAAAAAACTTTGACCTTTTAGTGTTTTATTTTTATGAATTTGAAAAAGCCTTCTGTATGGTGTATGATTTTGGAAGCTTATGGAGATTTTTTTGTAAATTATTTAAACCAATCTTGGGGGACTTCGGTGTCCTATCTTTGGAAAATTTTCACCTGACCTGTTTTTAAGTTAATTTTGGAATCCTGTTTTTTTTTGAAAAATTTAAAACAATCTTGAGGTTCTAGGTTTGGAAAGAATTTGAAAGTGGTTTGGAGCCTCGAGTGTCTTTTTTTTATAATAATTTAATTAAATTTCTGAGAGGATACGTCATCTGCTAAAATCAGTCTTATCTTAGCAGGTACTAGCCCCGCCCACCCACCCTTTCTTTTCTTGGAGGGTATCTCATTTGCCAAAATCACTCTTATGTTATCAGGCATTAGCCCCACCCACCCACCCTCTCTTTTCTTGGAAGGTATGTCATTTGCCAAAATCGGTCTTGCGAAGATTATTACGACGTATATCCAGAAAAAAGGCAACATTTAAGCTCCGCCTACCCACCGCCATCTCAATTGTAATGATTGTTATTCGTTGTGAATATTGAAATTCTAAAAAATTGTTATATTTCATATTGTAAATTGTGGATGGAAGTTCTATCGAAACAACTTTTGAATATTTTTTTTTGTTAAAATCTGTTTAGGGTAAAAACTCAACGGATTTATAAACCACAAGTGCAGGAGTATCTTATTTTATGACATTTAAATAATGTTTACCACTGTAAATTTTGGAGATGACGTCATCCCGTTGTTGGGGGGGATGAAGAGACAATTTTTATATGTTTTCAATTTTTCGTAGAAAAATAAGGATTTTGCAGTTAAGTTCCGCCCTCTTGACTCACGATGAATACAAAAATCGTCACAATTGAGACAGGGTGGGTGGGCGGGGCTTATATTTTGCTTTGTTTTTTTCTTAATATACATAGCCATCTTTTCACAACAAAAATTCCATTTGACAGCAATGTTTGCCTGGTATAAAGCGAAGGTACAAATCAGCAAAAATCGAGTAAGAAGTTAAAAATGACGTTGACGTTTCAAAAATTGTCAAAGTTTTCAAAACCCTACGTTTAAAATGTTCACAGTTAATTTTAGGTCCCCAGGTGTTTTAGTTTCGGATAAATTTAAGTGAATCTGGTGTTTTGTTGCTGGATGAATTTGAAACAATCTTTTGAGCTTTTCATGAATTTGAAAAAACCTTGACTGCCGCAGTGTTTTTTTTTAATTGGGGGCTCTTGGTGTATTATTTTGGGAGCCTGTGGGGATTTTTGTGTAAACTATTTAAACCAATTTTGGGGGACTATTTTTGAAAAACTCTGACCTGACCTGTTTTTGAGTTCATTTTGAGATGTTTTTTTTTTTTTTTTTTGAAAAATTTAAAACAATCTTGAGGATCTAGCTATTTCTGTTTGGAAAGAATTTGAAAGTGCTTTGGAGCCTCTAGTGTCTTTTCTTATAATTTAATTAAATTTCTTAGAGGATACGTCATTTGTTAAAATCAGTTTTATCTTAACAGGTACTAGCCCCGCCCACCCACCCTCTTTTTTCTTAGAGGGTATTTCATTTGCCAAAATCACTCTTATCTTAGCAGGTACTAGCCCCGCCCACCCACCCTCTCCTTTCTTGGAAGGTATGTCATTTGCCAAAAGCAGTTTTATCTGAGTAGGTATTAGCCCCGCCCACCCACCCTCTCTTTTCGTGGAAGGTATGTCATTTGCCAAAATCAGTTTTATCTTAGCAAGTATTGATGACTAATTTTTACAAAAATGATCAAAATTTCAAGGCAGGAATTTTGAACATCTTCTCTATAGTGTTTAGTTGGTTGTGCTTTAATAGATTTTTCTTTTGTTGGTTTTGTTTTGTTTCTAATTTATAAATGCCTCATTGATTTTTTTTTGGTTTATTTATTAATGAAAAATAACAGCTTCTTTTATTAATAATAATAGACAAGGACTGGTGACTACTGGTTGCAGATAATTGGAACCACATGATCCAATTTTTTTTTTCTAGTAGGTCATAAAATTTATATATTTTTTATAAATATGTCAAAACATTTATCACTTATGTGTGTTATCTTAAACTTAAACACCACCGTTGTGCTGTTGGAATAACCATAAATTTTTCCATGCATTCAATTTTACATCTGATATACACAATAATCCATACAGGCTGTCCCAATAATCTGGTGACAAAAAATTATACATTTTTTATATACCACTGAAAAAAATCTTCGACGAAATTTAATAGCACTAAAAGTTATGGTTATTTTCAAATATACAAGACGTTTACACATTAAAATTGTATTCTTTTATGAAACACCTATATATTTTCACAGATTTAGCTTCTTTACATGTCAAAAAAGAAATAAGTGGTATCAGTTGCGAGCGTTTCTTATTAATGTGTATGGAAAAAAACTTTAAATTTTGTTATACAGGGTGATTAAATTTGTAGATTGACAGTTTCTTCAAGAACTTGTTTCTAAGTAGGCTTTCTTTGATACCAGTTTGTTTATCAAAATAATATAAGAATAATTCTTAAATAATTATTATAACTAATCTTACCAAATTTGGTGTCAAAAGGACCATTCTTTAGACAAAAATAAAAATTATATAACAACATTGTAGATCAAAAAATCGTTTTGCCTGACTGACTTTTTTCGTTTTTTAGTAAGACCTAATATCAAAAATCCGTTACTTACGATTAAAAATGTCGCTAATGTGGTATGGAACTCTCAACGGAAACACCCGATATATTTTAAAAAAAACCTTAAATGAATTCTGTTAGACTACATCAAGAATTTTTTTCAATAAGTCAAACCGTTGGAATATCCTGTATAATAATAGCCAAAATGTTATGCGTCAGTCAGCCAAATCATATTTGCTAATTAAAATGCCTTCGTTTTTGTTACTGTATAATAAAGTATACAACAAATCGACTTCCTGCCACTCAACACTGTATAATTTATCATATTTTCTGGCAACTGCTTATAATTTGCGTCATACAGTACTTGAAAAAGCCCCAGAGGGCAATAATATTAGGCACGTGCGCGTTCATTTTACTTTTTACCATGTGTTTTTAAAAGATAAAATATAGAATATATGTTTTTCCACTCAGGCAGGGAATTAGAAATTATAATGTTAGTATTTGTTTAAAAAAATTAGTACTAATAATAATAATTAGTAATAATATTTTAATAAACTATAATTTTTAACGTCAAATTTCAAAGCTTACTGGAGGATTTTTTTTTATTAGCTTATATTAAAAACACTAAACAAGTTCTCTTTTCTCATGATTTGATCACTTTAAAAAACGAAACGTCAAACGTCCAATAAACTTGCACCAGTCCACGGCCTCGCAAAACTGCAAAAATAACCGCACACGTTTGAGGAAAAAGTATCTCAACCAGCTTCAGGAATTTCGAGAATCCCCTTTCTCCATTCGTCCGAGCCTTACGTAACCCGTAGATTCCGGCCGAGCCAATCCAGCGAAAAAACATCCTTCCTGCCCCTTAATTGCTCCGTAATCGACGCCCATGACCGGCAGTGGCGCCGCACGGCGCGATCCACTCAAGAAAATTTAGGCGCCACCGTCATTCAGTCACACGTTGACCGCCACCAAGCAAACACCGCCAGCCCTACAACTTCCGCGAAGGGCATCCGCGTCCGGTGATCTCTGATGCTAGTTTCGAAAATGTCGGCCCTTCTTCTCTCCATTCTGGGCCTGTCCGTGGGCATCCCGCACTGCCCCATGTGGAAAGAGATCGTCCCTTGCACTTGCCGGATGGACTCTACCAAACTCACCACGATCCACTGCGACCGGATGACATCGTACGACCAGGTGGTGAAGTTGCTCAAAGGGCACTTTTCGCCGGCGGACAGGGTGTCGCTCAAGCTGTCCTTCAGCAAGCTGGACGATCTGCCCTTCAGGAGCTTCAAGGAGCTGAACATGTCCATCGAGAATTTGAAGCTCAACCACGACAATTTGGGGTGAGATTTTCTTCTAGAAAGAGGATTTTCTTGCTGCGGGAATTAAGGAGGGTGATTTGGCGATGGTGTGGTGTCTTGAAACAAGCGAGATTTGCGCCCTAAAATCGTGTCGGTTTGAAATTTTTCTTACGAGCATTGTGCTAGTGTTTCTTATAGAGTTAAAGGTTTTATCAGAATTATTACGTCAGAAATGGCAGTGATATGCAAAAGGTGGGATAATTTTGACAGTTGATAACTTTTTGTCTTTCTTGCTGTTTCTTATCTCGAGCGGTACCTAACAAAAATTGTGACTTATTACGAAATACTGTGATGAAATTTTGTAAAATGTGTCTAAATAATTAACTAGCAAAAACGTGGATAAGGTTTTTTTTTCATAAATAAAAGTTTCTAAAATGTCAATAAACTTAAACAAATTCATTTGGATACTAATCAATGGTATTTTATGCATTCCAAAAGTATTAGTTGATTAAAGTAGGAAAATAAAATTTATGAATTTAAAGTGCTATTAGAAAATGGTGAAAGTACCTATCTAATGAATTTGCTGAAATTTAATTACTTTGTTATCAAAGTAATAATGATTAAAATTTAATGATGAAAGGTAAGGTTGGAACATAAACGTTAACATCATCGGTAATGTAAGCAATGGTTCATTTAAAAATTTTTGGAAAACACAAAAATCACGCTGTCAGCTTACGAATGAAAAAATCGGTCCCCTATTTCCGTCTGTCCGTCTGTTTATTTGTAATTTTGTCGGATACATATTTTCGAAAATGCGGAACTTTAAAATTTTATTTATACTCCAAGATTATTGTGTCAGTAGTAAAACGCCACCACTTATCCCCTCCAAAAATATTATGACCTCATCTTAAAATTTTATAACGTAAACGTCACTTGATGTTTTTAGCGGCCTCGCTTATCTGTGGTTTGATAATTTATTCGTGTTTTCGACCTTACACACAGAGATTATTATTAAAAAAAAATGATAAGACTTTAACATTGAGAACAAAAATTTATTGATTTGTTCCCTTCGAAAACTTACTGACGTCATCTCAGTAAATACATTTTTTTCCAAGTATGTCGTGATTACTAAATTGTTGGTGTTTTGATAGTGTAATTTTTTATAAGTATTTTAGAATTATCTACACAGAGAATGTAACTATTTTAATTTACTAGCAAAAAATTGTGATGCTATCAAAAATTTTTAGTCGAGAAAATCTTATTTGACACACAGAGGAACATATTTCTTATGCATTTTTTCTGAAAATCTCTCAAAAGTAGATGATGTCATCTCGAAAAAAAATTGTGAAAAATATCTCCTCTTTGATTCATTATGTTTGTGAAAAAGATGGCATTCGTTGTTTTTTTATATTTTATTTTATAGTCTGGGACAACAAAGAATAGGACACAATAGTATTTCAAAAAAATTTTGGAAAAGTAGAAATTTTATTACTCTTATTTGCAGATATTTTTTAAAAATAACAATTTATTTATTATTTATGTATGTATTTGTTTTTTAATTAATTTGTTTATTTGTTGTAAATTTTCTCATATTTTCTTACTTTTAAAAAAATAGGTCTCCTATTTCCGTCTGCCTGTCATCCGTCTCTCTCTGTGTGTGTGTCGACATTTATTAGACATATATTCTCGGAAACTACCGGGCTACTTGTTGTCAAATTTTAGATGTACTTTAGGAATATCGTGTAGGTGGTAAATCTCTAACCAAAATTTGTTCGATCATACCCACTAAAAATTTGATGACGTCATCGTCACCTCAAAATTTTGCATAGTAAATGTCATTTAAATTTCTTAAAACAAGATATGTACATCTACAGGGTGATTAAAAAATACCGCTCTAACCCTATGACACGCTGTTAAGAACTGTTTATTGAGCAAAGAAAAAATGATTTTCAAAATCCTGGGGCCCAACGCCCAAATGTAGAAAATATAATGCCTTTTTATTTTATATATTTGATCATATTTTGATTCATTGGATATTTTGTTTTTGTAAGTCAACGTCACATTGACGTAAGGATTTTTTTAATGATTCTCTCGAACTTTGACTTGTGAATATAATTAATACTGTACAGTCGAGTTGGTGCGCAATTTTTTAATCACTCTGTATGATCGTGTTATTTTGTCTTTCTTTGGTCGTTTTTTTGATTCTCTTCCTTTAGTCGCATTTTTGGTCCCCTTTTTAGTTAGTCTTTTTGTTGTGGTTTATTTTTCACATTTTTTATGGTTTTTGTCTTTTATTTTCGCATTTTTTGTGATTTTTTTTTATTATTTTTTTTTTGTCGCTTTTTGCAGCCGCTTTTTTGTGTTGTACTCGCCTTTTTGTTGAATTTTTTCCTATACACTTTTGTTGCATTTGTTTTTTGTAGCCTTTTTGTGGACCTTTTTTCGACTATCTTCTTTTAGTCGCATTTTTATGGATTTTTTGTCCTGTTTTTTGTCCCTTTTTACTTCCTGAGCGTAAGCTAAGGAATTATTGTAATATCCCTGTTTTCAAGTTTTCTCGATGTTTCATGACTCATAGAGTACGAAAAAGTAGGTCTCCCGTTTCCGCCTGTCTATCGCCTATCTGTCTTTCTGTCTATCGCCTGTGTCAATTTCTACTACACTGATAATCTCTTAGAACTACTCGATCGATTGTTGTCAAAATGTTAGGAATGTCGTGTAGATGGTAAAAGGCTAACCAAAAATTGTCTATTAAATTTACAATATGAAATATAACAATTTTTTAGAATTTGAGTATTCACAACGAATAAGAATCATTACAATTCTGATGGCGGTGGTGGGCGGGGCTAGTACCTGCTAAGATAAAAGTGATTTTGGCAAATGAGATACCTTCTAAGAAAAGAGAGGGTGGCTGGGCGGGGCTATTACCTACTCAGATAAAACTGTTTTTGGCAAATGACATACCTTCCAAGAAAAGAGAGGGTGGGTGGGCGGGGCTAGTACCTGCTAAGATAAGAGTGATTTTGGCAAATGAAATACCCTCTAAGAACAGAGAGGGTGGGTGGGCGGGGCTAGTACCTGCTAAGATAAGACTGATTTTAGCAAATGACATATCCTCTAAGAAATTTAATTAAATTATTATAAAAAAGACACTAGAGGCTTCAAAGCACTTTCAAATTCTTTCCAAACAGGAATACCTAGAACCTCAAGATTATTTTAAATTTTTCAAAAAAAACAGGGTCCCAGAATTAAGTCAAAAACAGGTCAGGTCCGAATTTTCCAAAAATAGGACACCAAAGTCCCCCAAAATTATTTTAAATAATTTACAAAAAAAATCTCCATGGCTCCCAAAATAATACACCAAGAGTCTCCCGAATTAAAAAAAAAAACACACTGCGGCACTCAAGGCTTTTTCAAATTCATAAAAAATAAAACAATAAAAACTTTCCTTAAATTTATCTGAAATTAAAACACCAGGGCACCTAAAATTAACTGTGAACATTTTAAACGTAGGGTTTTGAAAACTTTGACAATTTTTGAAACGTCAAACAGTTTTAACTGCTTATTCGATTTTTGCTGATTTGTACCTTCGCTTTATACCAGGCAAACATTGCTGTCAAATGGAATTTTTGTTGTGAAAAAATGGGTATGTATATTAAGAAAAAAAAAAGCAAAATATAAGCCCCGCCCACCCACCCTATCTCAATTGTGACGATTTTTTTTATTCATGTGAGTCAAGAGGGCGGAACTTAACTGCAAAATCATTATTTTTCTACGAAAAATTAAAAACATAAAAATTGTCTATTCATCCCCCCCAACAATGGGATGACGTCATCTCCAAAATTTACAGTAGTAAATATTATGTAAGTGTCATAAAATAAGATACTCCTGCACTTGTGGTTTATGAATTCGTTGAGTTTTTACCCTAAACAGATTTTAGGAAAAAAAATTGTTCGGAAGTTGTTTCGACAGAACTTCCCTCGCATCTCCACAATTTACAATATGAAACATAACAATTTTTTTAGAATTTAAATATTCACAACGAATAACATCATTACAATTGAGATGGCGATGGGTAAGTGGAGCTTGGCTTAAATTTTGCTTTTTTCTGAATATGCGTATCAATCTTCACAATATATTTAAAACGTTTAAAATGGTAAATTTTTGTCGGGAAACATCGATTTTACAATTAAGCGCCGCCCCTCGGTCTGACAACGAATGAAAAATTCATTACGATTGAGATTGGGGCGGGTGGGTGGGGCTTATTTTTCTTAATATATAGAGTTTCCTAAGTAAGTAACAACATGTTACTTAAAAATATGTTTCACTACATTCTTGTAGAGAAATAAGCATTTTGCAATAAACGCCGTTCTTCGGCTCACAACGAATAAAAACGTTATCGCAATTGAGATGAGGGCGGGTGGGCGGGGTTGGTATTTTACCTTTTTTTCTCTTACTATACGTACTTTTCTTTTCACGACAAGAGACTGAAAACATGTTTAAAAGGGTAAATTTGTAGAGAAGTGTATGGGATAATATTTACTATTTTAAACATGCTGTCAGTTTCTTGTTGTGGAAAAAAACAGTATATATTGAGAAGAAAAAAAAATCCAAAACATAAGCCCCACTCACCCACCCTATCTCAATTGTGACTCTTTTTCTCTGTTCGTTAATCAAGGGGGGCGCAGCTTAATTGCAAAATCCGTATTTTTCTACAAAAATTACCATATGAAACGTGTTCTTCATTGATGATCTTGCTCAGAGAAAGCTATGTGTATTAAGTAAAAAAGAAAGATAAGCCCCACCCATCCGTCTGGTTTTCAATTGTGACGAATTTTCTATTCGTTGTCAGCCTGAGGGGTGGAGCGTAATTGCAAAATTCATATTTCATGTTGTAAACACGTTTTAAGTGTCTTGTTACGAAAAGAAGACTACGAATATTAAGAAAAAAACACAAAATTTGGAAAAACATCTCATTGTTAATTGTAACAGGAAAAAAAGTCCATAAAAAGCAGACAGACGGACAAACAGACAGACAGATG